TACTTAACTTTGTAGCTCGACATAATATTGTGGCATGGGAGCAACACGAGTAAGATTCCCGCGAGGACCAATGAAACTGTTATAGTAAATATTATGTGCCGATTTACCACGTTTTTGGCCGTGAAGTGATGAAGTATAACACCGTGGGAAAAACTCAATATTTGAAAGTTAAAAAAAATTTCTTGGACATATGAAAACCTCAAAACATCCGTTGAATTATTGCGTCGGACTCCTTCCTGCCCACAAAACACTATAAGTAATCAATAGACATGTGTACTGTAGTGAGACATCTCGTATGTGGTCTGCTACTTTACTTTATTTTTACGTTTTATAAAACTATGAAACAGTTTGTCAAATATTTTTTTTTAATTTATTTATCAAATCAAAAGAAAAGAATACAAATATAGGTCTAATTAACATCTAACAACCACGGAGGTTTGACTTGATGCTAAATAATTAAGTTTAAGTCAGAATATTATGTGCAAGACTCAGTCTAAGTAAGTAATTAGGTATGTGAGTAGGTATTAGGTATATTAAGAATATACTAAGAAGGTAGGTTAACAACTTAGTTAAAATCAGTAGTAGCAAGGTAAAAGTAAGAACTAGGCAGGTAGGTATGTTATTGTTAAGTAAGTAGATATAGTAGGTACTTATAGTTTAGATATGAAAAAGCTATTGAGTTTAGTTTTAATGTTTTATTGTGATATATTTTCGCGTAAATCGAAAGGTAAGTTATTTATTAAATGCGGTATCTGATAAGCGGCCGTCCGCTGCCCGTACACATTATTAGCAGTGATGTACCGGAGCCGGTTTTGTGCCATAGCGCACGTATGTACAGGTTGATCTATCTATGACTTTATATTATCGCAAAAGAAATATTGCATTAATAACAATTTAATTTGGTCATAAACAGGTAAGATTTTACAATGTTTAAAAATCTCATTTTCACCATCATTAGGACACGCATATTTGGGGATACAATATTTTTAAGAATTTTTTTTTTCTCTTCTTCTCTTTTAAATATGATTTGTACTTCCGACCATAGCTTGACAAGCCATATTGAATATAGGATTCAGCTAGAGATTTGTAAAGCATCAGTCTTACTTTGAATGGTATGCGAATTTTTAAGATTTTTATATTGGCTAAAAAACTGACGTAACTTATTACACACATGTTCAATGGGGTAGCTCCAGTTAAACTTTGAGTCAATTATAAGACCGAGGTATTTTTGTGTAGTCCCAACTTCAATTGTAGGATATTGGCAAGTTCCTAGTTAATGTAGGCAGTCGTGATTATGAACAATTAATGGGTTTGGAGTAGGATACCTCATGTATGGGGATTTGATAATCATGACTTTGGTTTTATCGGCATTTACCACTAGGCCAACGCCATGGCACCATCGTATCAACGTATCCAAATCAGCCTGAGGAGCATTACACGCATTTGAAAATATCCTCATCCGATACGAGAAGACACGTATCGTCTGCGAATTGGTAACAGGAACTGTATTTCAGACAGTTACCCTACCTTGAGTTATTTAATTTAACCGTAAATTTACGATTTTGGAGGTAATTTCTACACCAATTGAGAAAAGAACCCCGGATACCACAATCATCCAGTTTATTGATTAAGAGTTGATGTTGTAGCGTGTCGAAAGCACGAAAAAAATCAATAAACAAGGCCAGGACACATTTTTTATGGTTCAAGTGCTTGTTTACCTCATCTGTAAACTTAAATAGTAGGTCCATAGTACTTTTACCTGCTTGAAATCTATACTGGTTTTTGTTTATGACTTCGCGCTTTCGGTAAAAATTATGAATCTGCTCACTGATAACTTTTTCAACTATTTTATCAACACTAGAAAGCAGAGTGATTGGTCGATAGTTGGAGTAAGCGTCGTGTTTGCCCTTTTTGAAAACAGGCCTCACACAGCCTACTTTGAGGTCGTCGGGGTATTCCCCAGACGCAATACTGCGGTTAATTAAATTAGCAATGGGTAAGGATATATGTTTATTATTTTTTTTTTTTTTTTTTTATAGGATCGGGTGACAAACGAGCACACAGTCCACCTGATGGTAAGTGGTTACTGTGACCCATAGACATCTACATCTATCCTCAATAAAGACTCAAGATGCAGATGCGTTGTCACCCGTGAGGACTAAGATGGAATGCCTCTTTGCCAGTAAAAAGGGTCTCCGGTTCTCTACACTCACCATACGAAACACAGCAGCGATAAGCTGCTATTTTACGCTGGTTTTCTGTGAGAGCGTGGTCCTTCCCCGGTCGAGCCGACCCATTCATGCTACAACCATAATATAACTGCAGCATGGCTCTACCACGTATAAATTATAATATATATTAACAACTTTTAGATCAGCTATTCTAATACCGTCAAGTCCAGGAGCCTTATGTGAGTTCAGTCTCTTAATGATTTTGTTTACATTGTCCTGAGAAACTTTTTGGAACAGAATACTAGAATCTACCGGTCTCTGATAAGTTAGGGAATTGGTTAATTTTAAGCTGCATCGAGGAACAATGTCTTTTACTGTCTTTTCAAAGCTATTTGCAAAGTTGTTAGATATCGCTTTGGTGGTAAGGCCCTGTCCGTCAAAAGCCTTTAGTATCGCCTCGTCAATGGATAATGTTATTCGTCCTAATATCTGGTTAATGATTTTATAAACTTTTTTTCTATCTTATAAGTTATTATGTATTGCATTAAGATAGTATGTATTTCGTTCTGATTCAATTAGTTTATGGAGATTATTCCTAGTTATATTATATTCTAGTCTAATTTTAGGATCAAAAGAGCTATTTTTCCAAAGCTTAAACAAGTAAATCCTTTTTTCACATAATCGTTTGACATTACCATTGATCCAAGGGGCTATAGGCAGATTCCTACGATTTTAGAATACCTAACAGACTTACTAATGGTCGTAGACTTTAAAGCTGCTGGGAAAGATTTTTTATAAATGAAAGTATATCATTTGACGAACTCATATTATTTGTCTGTTCCCAATCTATAACGCTCAGCTCATTAAAAATATTGTATGATCGAAAGTGGGTTTTTGTGTAACAAATTGTACTCGTCGTATAGGTGGCGAGTCAGCAAGGCACGTAAACACTATGCCCCGATGGTCAGCCGGTGCAACGTCTAGTACAGCTGAGTATGGATCTGATGTGGGAAATCTCGCAAATATGTAATCTATACAAGATTTAGTGACTTTATTTTTTCTTGTTTCAATTCTAGTATATTTTAAAATTCCGCACATCAACCCGCGCTCGCTGAGTGTTTATAAATATGTGTCCCTGTAAGATGAAATGGTTTTTAGGTCAATGTTGGAGTCGCCGATTAGTTAAAGGTTTGTTTTAGCGTCGTAGTTCGAGATGTACCTGACAAGCTCCTTTACAAACAAATCCTTGTTTCTTTTTGGAGTTTATAGATTGCATATACAACTACATCTACGTTCGGAGTCAGTTTTAAGATACTCGTTATGTTTTCAAACATGATACTTTTATGTGGTGTTAATGTAAACTTGAGATGGTTTTTGACATAAGCAATGATACCGCCTCCTCGTTGCGTAGATCGCAATTGGTAGTACATATTATAACCCGGTAAATTAAAAAGGTTAACAATCGTATCTGTTATGCCAACTTCTGTAAGAATAATCAAGCCTATAGGGTATTTGGAACTATGAATAACTTGTTGAAGCTTCGCAAAATTCTTTATGAGTGATCTTATATTAAAATGTAGGCTAGTAAGTAATGCACGACGTTTTGGGGGGTAATTGTTGAAAATAGTTATTTATATCGTTACAGTTAACAAATTCTTTAATGTCTATAGTCATAATAAAGTTTGAGAAGTAGTTAATAAGTAGGTAGGTACGAGTATATTCGAACAATGGAAAACAAAGAAAAAAATATGGTTAAGAGGTTTTACAGCTATCTAATTGTTTAAGGAGTAATTCAATATCATTATCTGATCGAATATAGTAAATTTTAGTATTAGGACCTTTCCTGACAAGTACTTTACCGTCCTTACACCAAATATATTGGACGATTTTACTAAGTTTCGCTTTGATGCTATATAGTAGAGTTTTTAATTACTTAGTAAGGGCCTCCCTGATGTACACTCCCTGTTCAGCTACTTCCTTCGGCGAGTTTGGTAGGATGGTTCCCACGGAGAGACATTTCTCTTTACGAGCTTCAATCCATTGTTTTTGGGCTGCCATGGTTTTCATCTCAACGAGAATTGGACTAGGGCGGTCGCACACTTCACCAACAACATGGTGGGTGGTTGAAAACAAAGATACACAAACTTATCGCAACGGCGCACTGACGTGAACTCCAATAGTTTGCAAAAAGACTCCAGTGATGTCCAAAAGTAATATAATACTTGAATTTACGCAGTAATTGTATTTTTAATAAATATTTATTACGTACTCTAGAAATATTTTTCACTCTGACAACTGACGTTGACAAAGTGTTGACAAACATATGACAAAAAGATAGGTTTCATATTTTCAGACATATAAACATTTTACCGACAGATCAGGTTTCCTAGCTCACATGTGAATGTATACAAACACTTGAGAAAAACTTCACATTTTTAAAACACTTCAGATTTTGAATGACTTCCGAATCTACAATTTAAATTAGAAAAGTTGACTTCCATCGGTATTGGATTTCTTTATACAAAATATTAATTTAATATAGTAATTAAATGTTTCTTTACCTGGCTTACCTGGTATAAGTAAAAAAATATTGATAAAAAAAAGTAATTTATTCATATTGTAATTCAAAATGGCGTGGGAGGTGTTGTGTAACTCACGGTATCCACCAATGTGCTTAATACCTATAATAAATTTAATTCAGTAATAAACAGAACTTATAACATGAACTGTCTGGTCAATCACCAAAATTTCACGATTCATTCAATAACCAAGTACTCGGGTACCCTCCTACTGCTTGACAAATCGAAAAGTTATTAGTTAGCCGGCTTCTTGGAACATGAAATAACAAAAGCGAAACTCAAAGGTCCTCAAGTACCTGGAATGCCCCGCCCCCTTCACTACGAACAAAAAAAAAATAATAAGGATCAGTCGCAGCTGATAATCGACGAGCAACTTTACCCATACCGGGGTCGATTTAAATTCACTCAGTATATTCCATCAAAGCCAGGCAATTATGGAATCAAAGTATGGTGGATATGTGATGCACTGGACTGCTTTACACTGGACACTCCAGTGCTGGTCGTGAGGAAAACGTTGTTTAAAGATTATCAAAGACTTGGGGGCACCGTGCAAAGGATCCGGTAGAAACATTACAATGATTAATTAATTCACTGCTCTGCCATTGAAAAAATTTGTACTTTCCTGGGATTTAACAATTGTTGCCACTTTGGAGAAACGTAAGCCGAAAATTCCATCGCATTTACATTTTTAACTCATAATTGGCATTTCTATAAAGGTTTATAAAAGAAAATTATAAATAATTTCATTTTTTATTAAGTTTATAATTGGTTACAAACAATTTTTAATCCCCGGTAAATGTTTATCCTGAAAGCAATAATTAAAAAAAAGTACTAAAACAACCCTTTATAATCCCTTTAAACTGTTATTAAACAATATTTCTAAATATTTCCCAATTTCATCGCTATTTAAAATAATATAATTATTTTATTCATTATTTGATTTAAATGGAGATATAATATTGTCACTACACACTGACTCTAAAGAAACTGGTATTGAGCGCCGACACCCACAGAGATGTTTTATTAAGTTTAATTTATGTATAATATAGGAAATTTTATTTATGTAGGATAGTATAGGAAACAGTATAAATTGATAAAATATTAAATAATTGATAAAATTGATATATATATATATATATATAATTATTACTAAATGCAAATATATTATATTGAAAGAATAATATTTCCGATATTTAGACCTATGATGTACCTTAGTCGATTTATTAATCAATCAATAAATCAATAAAGGATCAATTTCCTGTTCCTAACGAATGAATAATACGATTAATCTATCTCAGATTTTTTTTATAGAATAAGGATAACAAATGAGCACACATTCCACCCATATACATATATCCCCAATGAGGAGTAGATGCGTGGTCACCCCTGAGGACAAAGATAGTTTGCCTCGTTTTCAGTAAACAGGGTCTCCGGTTCTACACTCACCATACGAAACAAAGCAGCAATATGCTGCTATTTAGTCTGTTATTCCGTGAAAGCGTGGCCCTACTCCGATTGAGGCTAGCCTATTTGGGCGACAACCATAATATAGTTGCTGCGTGGCTCTACCACGTTGAACATGCGAAGTTTAAAAAAAATTCAAAGACGGGCCTAGACTGACAAATGATTTGCGGCTTCCTCCTAGTAGACGAAAACGATAAAGACGAAACAGAAAAGTTTTGGCGGGAAGTAATTAGTACATATACGTCGTTCAAATAATGGTTGGAAGTGTCTTTTGATACGTAAAAAGGTGTGATTTTGTACAAAGGAATGTTTACGCATGTGAACAACTAATGGAAACGATGAAACAAGTGTTTCGGATTTAATATTAACCTCAAAAAATTGTCTGTTTTGAAGCCTAGTACTATTGTTATCGACTGTCTGCTTTGAACCAATCTCCCTGAAACCTCGTAATTGACGGCTCGATAGGGCATTATCTGTGTATTTATTTGGCAGTGAAATTAATATGGGTATGGCATATAAATAATGGGCGTATGTCTATATACAATTCATGAGAGTTTGTAAGAAAAATAAAAATAGTTTTGTTAGTTATTAAAACAACATCAGACTATAAAAATATGTAATCCCAAACATTACCAATTCCCGTCGAGATCGCTTGGAATAGGATTGTCATCTTGCCGGCAATTTTTTTTTTCAAATAATTCTCGCAACTTTATTTCGTTTAGTTTTTGTCTATTCTCAATATTTCTTAAACCTCAAATCCCTTGGTTCTTAAAAGCACTTAAGATCATATACAAGCCTTTTGTAATACTTGGATTTTCAAAACAGAACTGATGAAAATATGTATAGATGTAAACAAAAATCACAGCTTACGGCTTAAGGGAAAAGCCTTAGGAACGTACACATCTTAGACCAGTAAAAAATAAAGACTGAGTCGTCGTAAACAATCGCGACGAAATAAGGGAAGACGCGTGTCGGCTTTGTGTGCGTAACTCGTTGTAAGACACAGTGAGAGTTGCATATGTGTGCTAAAGAAAAATGTCTGGCTATCAAGCATAGCGATGCGAAACCAACTGCAAGTAAAATTATTTGATGAAAGGTTTTATTATTTGTTAGAACGGTGTTATGTTATTTGTTAGTTTAATAAAATGAAAGATAATTTAGTTTAACATGTTATATCATTTATTATTATCCAATTCAGAATAATCTAACAAAATTCATGTATTATTATTATAAATGCCCCTTAAATTGTGTAAATAAAAATATGCTTTATGTTTCGAACTTATAAGTAAGATAACATTTGAGAAAAATTTTTTTTATAAATAGGTATTCTTTTACACTTTATTGTATAAAACACCTTTACAAAAAGGGTTAAAAAGTCGGACTTAATGTTTTTTAACATTACCGCCCAGTCATACCGGGACTTGTGGTAATAATGTGATAGGTGCCGAAAATTAACTTTGCGATAAATCAGAAAAATAACTACAGAATTTCGTAATTAAACGTAACATTATATTAAAAAAAAAAACAAATAAAAGACATATATATCTCTAAATCTAATAAATATTTAATATTTGTTTGTTCGTATTTTATGCGCTGCCATACCGTTCATCAAATTGCGGTAAAACTTTGTCAACATATTGCTTGCACTTCTGTGAAGGTTATAGGCATAGTTGGACCCGGTAGGTAGCGCTGTTATAGAATACAGATATCACTCGTGTAAAACCGGGATAGATCGCTAGTTATAAATATATATTATATGTTACAAAACAATAAACATATTTATAGAATCTTAAACCCATTAACGGTCGCTGCATTTAATTAAGTACAGGCAAATATTTATATTTTTCTTATATAACCGAATCCTTAAAAATTAATAATATCTTTTGATTGTATCCAACGGAGGAATTATATTTTCCTTTATTATTACAACAAAAAATGGGTGGTAGTTATAAATTTTTGTCATTTCGAACTCAAAGTAGCACTTCTGAAGATGATATGGATAAAAGCTGTTCACAGTAATTATTTATTTTCTTCAATGAGCTAATATCGTATTTATTGGTGATAAAGTTATAGCCTGGGGGGCCCGAATTGAGTTCAGTATGGATCAATCGATGTATACATAACAAACGGCAGTCTTATTTTTAACGCTCTCCCAGTTCAAAGAACACCACAATCGCCAACAAGGCAAATATACATGCAATGCAATGCAAATAAATCAATATTCTATTCTATTCTATTCTACAGACTACGTGACACGTCACGTAATTGCAAAAGCATTATGGTAGGAAGTCTGCCGTTTGATCATTGGTTCCAAGATTAGATTAACTTTAAGCTAAGATTGACACAATACCGCATTGCATATAGCGTCATAGATTCCTCCTATTATAATGGTAATATATATTTTTAATAATATAATAACACACACACACACACACACACACACACACACACACACACACACACACACACACACACACACACACACACACACACACACACATCCGGCAGCGCATCTGCAATTCCCCTGGTTCCCCTCGTGTTGCAGTTGTTCATTGGTGGTAGTAGTCACTTACCATCAGGTGAACCGCATGCTCGTTTGCCCCCTCTACTATAAAAAAAACACACGCACGCTTAATTATTTGCTGATTTATATATATATATATATATATATATATATATATATATATATATATATATATATATATATATATATATATATTTATATATATGATTATGTGTATGTGTAACTATATGGATGTACAGGAGGCGAGAGAAGTGTGTCAGGATCGCGCCAAATGGAAGTCCGTAGTCTCTGCCTACCCCTCTGGGAGACAGGCGTGAGTGTTTTTATTGTATTGTATAATAATATGTATTGTAAATACGATGAAATCGCTGTATGATTACCTAAATAAATAAATAAATAATAGCATATTTAATATACATTCACGTGTATTTATCATTTCATATTATATATTTAGTCAACCCAACCAGATGATAATACTTTATAAATAACCCATAATAATAATGATACCGCCCGCATCGTCCGCCGGTTTCTTTCCGCCTAACCCTCGGCCGTTTGGTCTCCCCTGCCGAGGGCTTCCGTTTTTTTTTATAGTATAAGGGTGACAAACGAGCACACAGTCCACCTGATGGTAAGTGGTTGATGCGGTCCAGAGACATCTACATCTATTCTCTATTACAAATCAAAATGCAGATGCGTTGTCACGCGCGAGTACTAAGATGGAATGCCTCATTTCCAGTAAGAAGAGTCTCCGGTTCTTTACACTCACAATACGAAACACAGCAGCGTTAAGATGCTATTTTACGCTGGTATTCCACGTGGTAGACCCATTTGTGCTACAACTCTACTACTAATACATATATATAGCTGCAGCATGGCTCTACCACGTAAAAAATCTAGTTAGTTTTAATGTATGTATATTTTATGTATTTATTTTATGTTGTTGATAGCCCAAACAGATGAGAAAACTATGTAAATACCCCAATAATAATAATTTGTGGTTAAAAATAAAAGAAAATGATACAAATCACAATTTTAAAATTTGTTTACCTTTAGTACAAAATACAAAATGTACAAAATCTTTCACTCCTGTGCTAGGATTGTGTTACAGGAGCCAATGCACTTCCTTTTCTATTGCCTATATTGAAAATAATAAGTAATAAGTAAAATAAGTACTTAGTGTTAAATAATTGTGCACGCGCTCTATGTTGTGTGTGTGTGTGTGTGTGTGTGTGTGTGTGTGTGTGTGCGTGCGTGTGTGCGTGCTTGAGTGCGTGCGTGTGTGCGTGCGTGCGTGCGTGCGTGCTTGCGTGCGTGCGTGCGTGCGCGTGCGCGTGCGCGTGCGTGTGCGCGTGTACATGTGCGTGCGCGCGTGCGTGCGTGTGCGTGCGTGCGTGCGTGCGTGCGTGCGTTCGTGCGCGCGCGCGCGCGCGCGTTGTGTGTGTGTGTGTGTGTGTGTGTATGTGTGTGTGTGTGTGTGTGTGTGTGTGTGTGTGTGTGTGTGTGTGTGTGTGTGTGTGTGTGTGTTGTTATTCATGTTCAGTATCTTTGTAGTTTAATTTTGTACAGCTTCCGTATGG